ACATCGTCCGTTGAGCACAGCCTCAACGGACGATATGCTCAGCGAATGTCTCAGACAATGGGGAACAGAGGGAGACGAGGTGCTGGAGGAACCATCATGGGAAGACAAGCCCCTACATGGGATGTACCACTGACAAATAACTGAAGTGGCTGATATCAGGAAATCCTACCAATGGCTGGAGAAAGCTGGACTCAAGGACAGCACAGAGGCCCTCATCCTGGCCGCCCAGGAACAGGCCCTAAACACCAGAGCAATAGAGGCTCAGATCTACCACACCAGACAAGACCCAAGGTGTAGGTTGTGCAAGGAGGCCTCTGAGACAGTCCAGCACATAACAGCAGGGTGCAAGATNCTGGCAGGGAANGCGTACATGGAACGACATAACCAANTGGCGGGCATAGTGTACAGGAACATCTGTGCAGAATATGGACTGGAAGCCCCGAGGTCAAAGTGGGGAACACCCCCAAAGGAGGGGGAGAATGACCGAGCTAAGATCCTGTGGGACTTCCAGATCCAGACAGACAAGATGGTAATGGCGAACCAACCGGACATTGTGGTGGTGGATAAAGAACAGAGGAAAGCCGTTGTGGTAGATGTAGCAATATCAAGTGACCACAACATCAGGAAAAAGGAGCATGAGAAACTGGAGAAATACCAGGGCCTCAGAGAGGAACTGGAGAAGGCCTGGAAGGTGAAGACNACAGTGGTGCCNGTGGTCATCGGGGCCCTCGGGGCAGTCACCCCCAAACTGGAGCAGAGATCCCAGGAACAACATCAGACATCTCAGTCCAGAAATGTGCAGTTCTAGGCACAGCCAAGATACTGGAGGAACCCTCAAGCTCCCAGGCCTCTGGTAGAGGACCCGAGCTCAGAGGATGAAAGAGACCACCCGCGGAGGGTGAGAAGGGAATTAATTATTTTATATATATATATATATATACTTTCTGAATATGTCTAAGTTGAAAGCACTGAGTTTTTCCTTTTATAGGTTTGAAGTGTGGAAGAAAGAAATGAACAGGTGCCGAGGTCCAGTAACAGAAGAAAAGAGAAACTGGTAAAAAAAAAAAAAAAAATCAAAAAATTTCTTGTAAAATAATGCATATTAAATTGTTTGTTATCTATGTGCTGGTGTGCTTTTGGTGTGAAAGTCATGACAGGAACCCTGTCATTTCTATTATCTATCTGCCATCATAAACCTGAAGATAAGGATCATTTCTGGTCCGATGCTCACAGTTGCAGAGAACCAGGAGGGAAGAAAGTTGCTACACTCCTTACAGCTACATCATGGATTACAGCAAGCCGATGGGAACTCCTTCCAACAACCAGCCGTCCGTTCCTCCACCTTACCAGGCCAACTACTCAGATCCCCCCCTGTACTCGGCACAGCCTCAGGTAACCACCAGCATCCATCCACGGTCTGATAATTGGATACATTTTCTCTCCTCACAATGTAGGTGAGCAGATTTGAGACATGGGCAAGCTGGAGAAAAATAACATTAGAGATGAAGTGAACAACTTTTATGTTTTCTTGCATTTCACTAGACTGTTTCTGCTGTAATTTTCTTTTGTTTTCTACAGCTGAATTCATAACAATTAGGTTTAATCGGAAATATGTTTTATTTAATATTTACTTCATATAATATTTTATGACAGCTTCAGTGATGTAATCTGTATGAACTGTGTTAACAACATAAATTGTCTAATGAAGCAGGCAATTTAAATTAATGCTAAACTTGAATTTTTTTACTTGTTTTGTGCCTTGATAATTCAGTGAGAACTGAACCAGAACAGAACCTGGACAGGCAACACAAGAAAATAACGTTAAATGTAATTCCATAACCTGAAACACTAAAATCCTATAAGACTGGATATTTGTTTAGGCCAGAGCTTTTATCAGTTTGTGTTAAGTGATCAGCATCCATATGACATTTTAACAGTTTTTCTCTAGTCTCTGAGCCACAACATTCACTTCCTCTCAACAACAAAGCAGCCACAGTTCAGATTTTCTCTAAGGTCTTAGATCCCATATTCTTACAAACACGTCGTTTTTTTTATTTTGTCAACTGTTTCTGTCCTAAAGCACTCACTGGTATTATTTCCTCTCAGCTGTAAGAGTGTATAAAAGTCAATTTTTATTGAACACATGTAGCCGCACACCGTTACCAGTGTCCATTTCGTTTCATTCCACAGCTATAAGTCGTTGATCAAAGGACTTAACGTTACATAAAAGTCTACTTTTATTGAACATAGCTAGCCGCACACTGTTACCAGTGTCCATGTCATTTCATTTATTCATCCATTCAGCTCATAAAAGCTTTATTACACCGAGTATGGAGTCAAACATACTACTGCTCCAAAAAATATTTTTTGTTTTTCTGCTGTCCTTCAGTCCAAAACAACATAAACAACCCACACACCCAACAGTGAGTTAGCCATGTGTGTTTCCGGTCTCATATATAGAATTAAAATGATTCAGAACAAAGAAACTCGTCACATTGACCTATTATGTAGATATGTTGAATTCTGATTCTTTACAAGGGTTGTAAAGTTACAAACCTTTAAAAAAAAAAAAAAACATCCATTTAACTCCCATTGTATGACTTAAAGCTCCTCAAATGTGCACCACTTGTCATGAGCTGCAGGTTGTAGAAGGTGAAGACAGATTCAGTGGACCCAGGTTGTTGAGAAATTATTAAATAAAGTCCAGAGAGCACAGGGGATCAAACAACAATGGCTCTGACACTGGTAGTACTGAACAGACAATGACAATAGACGCGACAAGAACCCGACAAGGAAACACAGACACAGGTGGGATTAAATATACAAGGAGTAATCAAGGAAACAGGACACAGCTGGGATCAATCAAGAGGGGGGACCAGACAACACAGAGACTCAACTGAACACAGAAACTTACTGAAAAACCAAATCCTTTCACAACGGACATTAACTCTTACTTTCAACACAAATAAAACCTGAAACGAACTGGCAAAGGTGAATTAGACCACGTGAAAGGTTTAATCTTTCATCCTCTGCTTCTTTGGGGAAGAGTTGTCTTAGAGACATTAAGATGTATTTCTTGTTGCTTTTCTTCAGGGTTACGGATTTTCACAGCCGACTGTCACAAGTATTGACCAGCATCTGAATCAGCACCACATCCAGCAGAATGTCTTCATTGGCCAGCAGCAACCAACCGTGGTGTTACTGCAAGAAAGCCCAGTTAGCGACTACATTGGCTACTCCATCTTCACCATGCTCTGCTGCTGCTTCCCACTGGGAATATTTGCCCTTACCTACTCCATAGCAGTAAGTATATCTTAACTCGTATTTTGTCAACATTCTTATTAGCTGTCAGTAGGGGCGCCACCAGGAATCTTGGGCCAAAGACAAAAAACTAAATTGGGCCCCCTGCTGTTACAATTTCTTTAGTCTATTTGACCCATAAAAGGCAGCAAATTTTAAAGGCTTGCAACTGCCTTGCTTTCTTTAGGTACTAGCACAATATTTACTTCTAGTGAACTTTACATGCAACAGTCCATGTGGTATGCAAATAGGTTGCTTACATTTTTTTCATTAGTTTTAGCTTACTGAAAGGTCTCTCCCCACGAGCAACAGTCATAGGCAACATGCAAAATATAAATAAAGCAATCCAGGCTTCTCAAAAAATGCTATGTAGTTGCATTTCACTCAAGCTGCAGTATATAACTTTAATAAAAATAAATTTTCTCTTCATTTGTTAAAGCTGTTACCATGTTGAGACATTTTGTTATGAGACAGATAATCTGTGAAAAGATTAATCTCCACCTCCTCCCTGAGTTGCTATTGCTAGCTAAAATATTATATATAATATATAAAATATATAAAAATAATCCAGTCCAGACAAAAGACTGTTTATTATTATTATATAAAGATTGTTTGAATTTCTGTCAGCAACAAATATATTGTTTTTGTTGTGTAATTATAAAAAGAGTAAAGACACAGAGAAATCCCTATGGATTCCCTGGAATGATGCTATCTAGGTTGTCATTGGATACAGTGTTGCTCACCTTTTTCACTGGGACGGGGGTAAGGGGTTTATGTTGGTATTGGGGATTAGAGCTGCTGCTGACTGACTCACCTGTTGTCAAGTGTGGTAAAATGTACAGGGACAAGTTAAATATATGAATATCTTGGTATTTCTTTTCCTTAATTCATTAAATGCTATGGAGGCAAACAGTAGTCTGTAGCTAAGCTAACTATGCTAAATGGTTGATAATCTCACGGCAGATCAAAGAGAGACGAGTCTACTCACCTCTCTTTGAGAAAAACTTATCTTTGAGATAAGAGAGTCTATACTCTCTTATAGTAGGCAGCATAGCTGCCACAGTCGTTCTTGTCTTCTACTGACTGCTGCTGAAAACAGCTTAGCGTCAAGCACGCTAAGCACGGCAAGCATTTAACGCAAATACGGGGGTGTTCAGTGCAAATATGGATGTGTGCTTTTTGGTCTGGGAGGGGTAACATTTCATGT